AAGACATTCACCAGGGTCAGAATCCCAAATTACCCTTATGAGGAGACAGGGAGAAGAGAGATGCTTTTTCCTTCCTTCCTTCCTTCCTTCCTTCCTTCCTTCCTTCCTTCCTTCCTTCCTTCCTTCCTTCTTTCTTTTTAATTTTAAGGTGTCCATTCATTCCTAGAGTTCATTTCTTGGCCACTATTTTATCAGAGTTGAAATAACTTTATACCAGACACCCTTATAGTCTTGAGTACCCAGATTCTACCACTAACAATTTGCCCTTCTTGAATCAAATCTGGCCATCTAGTCTCTCCCAGTTTCCCCTCCCAGCTTTTTCTGACTTCACAATCTGGCCCCAGGATGGATGGTTTGCCATTCATCAGCTCATGGTTAGATACCTTTTCATCTCCTCCCTGGTTTAGATTAGAGGACATTCAAACAGCAACCGCCTGGAGGAGGGGCTGCAAACATTTCTGCAAATAGTGTCGCTACTCTGTCCTTCCCCATCAAAGACCTATGATCTCATGGGAGAACAGTTGTTTGAGGTTCCAGAGTCTAGACATGGTATTGTCTCAACCCCAGGTCTGAGGGTATAGTGAGGAGACTGGAAAAGGACATGACATCCACCAAGAAAAGTGCCACCCAAGTAATGGTTCTTACCAGCATGCCCCAGCCCCTGGGGTGCCCCATATGATAATGACACTTGGCTGTGGACCACCCATCTAGACCACGAGAGAGCTGCTGTAATTCAGTGCCTCCCTGGTCTCTCTGCCATCTCTGGAGCCTGCACATTGTGCTACTAAAATTCTCTGCTCCTGGTAACTTGGCTAAAGGTTTACAGTAGAGCAATTTCCCTAAAGGTTAGGACATGGACAAATGGAGGTTCTTGAGATGATTTTAGGTGTTAGACATGGCGCCAACTACACTGAATCAGCTGGTGAAGTTATTTCCTCTTCTATCACCTTCCAGTTGTTTAATGAGCTCAAAGGGAAGGTCTCCTGCTGGTGCCAGTATGCCTTTAACATCTGTCCAACACCTTTTCCAACAACTTTTTTTTTCTAAGAAAGAATGAGTAGGCTCTGGGCCCTGGATTTGGGATGTACAACAGGAAATTGCCAGAAAAAAATAGAACGTAAAGTTGTTACTCTATTCATATTTTTGCTAGTCCCCTTAAGTTTAGGCTGGTTTTCCATTTACAGGGTGATTTAAAGGTTTCTTTTTAGGTAAGTTTATTTAAATATAAATGTGAGTTGGTTTAAAGGAAAATGCTAAGTAATGAGTAATACAGGAGATGGCAAACATTGGATTGGGGGATACACTTGAGACAGTTGGGTACATACCTCCGCACAGACCCCCAGTTTATCCTCACTCCACCCCCTTTGTCCCCATTTTCTCCTCCCCCTTAAGTCTCCCATTGAGAATCCCAAGACCATCTGTACTCCTGGGTTTTGGGGGGAAGGGGGGGGAGGGGGAGGAGGAGGAAGGGCTGGTGCCTGACATCAGCTGGGCGGTGACAGCTCAGCTCTGGTCCCCAGGTCACCACGATGCCAGAATACCTGAGGAAGCGCTTTGGCGGCAGCAGGATCCCTGTCACCCTAGCTGTGCTCTACCTGTTTATCTACATCTTCACCAAGATCTCGGTAAGGTCGGGGCGCAGCTGGTGAGAAGGTCAGTGACAGCCCCGTTGCTGTGGTGTCTCCTCCCCATCCACCTTCTCCGCCACTCGAGGAAGCTTCTGGGAGGTTGAGGAAGGTGGGGTGGGGGAGGGTAAGCGTAGGGGGAGGAAAGACGGAGAAAAGGTAGAGTTCCCTCTCCCCTTCTCCTGCCAAAGCCTCCTCAGCAGCATCTCGGGAGGGTGCCTGTCACCGAATGGGACTCCACTGAATGGGGCTTGGGTGGGTCTGTTACTTTCCTCCTGGGACTGGGAAGTTATGAGCTATTCATCAGAGGTGCTGAAGCCCACTGGGCCTGCCCCACCCTGACCTTTGGATGGGCAGATCTCCTGGAGATTGGCCAAGAGCAGGTGCTTTGCAGCCTCCAGGCACGTGCTGCTCAGCCTGACTCACTGGCGCTGTCTTCCCTTCCAGCTGGAGCTGGGGGAGAGCTTGTCTGTGTGAGGTGGGGGAGGGGGGAGGGAGGACTTCCATTCAATCCAAACGACAATGACAGACTCTGTGCCAGCTCCAGACGCGAAAGACAGACATAGAAGGACAGCTCTCCCTTTCATTCTGGTGGGAAGCTATGGACGTGGGGAAGCCTTCCCCAGGAGCGTCACATCCGAGGAGGAGTTTTCCAGTTAGATTAAGGGGGACCGGCATTCCGGGTGGATGGACAGAACAAGCAGAAGAATGAACATGACTTGTTAGGGAAACGGTGTATTTCAGCGTGCCTGGTGGACTGGGAGCACAAAGCGAGGGAAGGGAATGAGGTTGAGTGGTAGGCAAACCAGGAAGGGCCTGGCAGGCAGCTCTAACTTACTTATTTGGCCATTATCTTGGGGGCAATAGGGAGCCACTGAGAGTTTTAATGAGGAGGAGAGGATGATACGATCATTGTGGTGTTTGATAAGGGCTGCAGTGTGGATGGGGCAGTATAGGAAGACCAAGAACAGAAGCAGAAAGACTATGGAGGAGCTTGTATTAGCCCAGGGAAGGGGGTCTCAAACATAATTGCCCACAGGGCTCCCATTTGAGACCCCTGATCTGGGAAGAGATAGATGAAACAAAGATAGTATACAATGCTTCTGTGTTTGCCAGAATCTAGGCTACAGCCTGGTGCTAAAATGCCCTTTCATTCATTCACCCATCAACTTCATGTCTCTCCAGGTGGACATGTATGCAGGCGCCATCTTTATTCAGCAGTCTTTGCACCTGAATCTGTACCTGGCCATAGTTGGGCTGCTGGCCATCACGGCTCTATACACCGTTGCAGGTATGACTGAACAAGGGGTGATGCTGGGAGAGGTGGTGGGCAGGGGCTGTAGGCCATCCTGTCTTTTCCTGGTCCATCTTCTGATGTCCCAGTGTGTTAAGACCATGTCTTCATTAAGCCTTAGTCCAGATAATATGAATTCTCTTGGCCAACGTCCAAAGGAAAAGTGTTGCCTGCTAAGAGGGAGAATTCGAAAATACACCACAACTGCATAAAGCTATTTGCGATTTATTTATTCAAGAACTGCTCATTAGAACCTTCTACGTGCTGAGTATGTGGATTCACACGCGCTGCACAAAGCTAGATCACAAACCACTGTCATTCTGCAGCCTCTTATTTCCCCCTCGGACTTGCACCCCAGAAGAGCTGGTGTATCACAGGGTCTAGACATGTATCTGCCTTTGAATATTCAGCTTCTTATCTTCTGCACCCCTTTCATCCTTCTCTGCCTCCTCTTGGTGCAACAGAATTCATGCAACAAGTATCCACATCCTTATCTCAGCTACTAAAAGCCAGACGTCATGCTGGGAACTGGAGCGCAGCAGTAAACAAGACAGACAAAATCTTTGCCCCAGAGAAACTTCCCTTGTCAGGGGGATGGGGAGACAGACAATGAACAAGGAAGCCAATGAATAATGTCGGAGTGTATTATCATAACAAGATAGGGAAAAGGGGGGAAGAATTCTTTTACATCGAATGTTCGGGTGAGGACTCTCTAAGGTGATGTATGTACAAGACTTAAATGATGTGAAGGAAATGCGCAGGAGGAGTGCAGGGGCGAGAATGCCGGGCGGAGGGGAGGCATGTGTAAAGACTCTAAGATGAGAACGCGTGCTGCTTGCTTGAAGAACAGCAAGGGGGTCTAGGTGGCTGAAGCTGAGCGAGCAGATTGGGAGAGGCCATTCCCACAAGCCGGCGTGACAGTGGCGTCCTTGGCATCGTGCTGTGCTGCAGCCCTGATGGCAGGAGAAAGGAGTGGAGGAAAGGGAGGGACCGGAGCCTTGAAAGAAACCAAATGAGCCTGGGATTTAGTCCTAGTGGAACCCCACTGGGGTCTCCTAAACAGAACAGTGACCAGATCTAATGAATGCAAAGCCCTCTGATGCACAAGGATCTTGGCTGAGTTTTCAGCACTAAAAGCAGCCACGTGTCCGGAGCTCAGGGAAAGGGAAGGGCCATTTGCAGTTGCCAATTTATCAGTCTGTTTCCTTGTTAGGGGTGTGTCTCCCCCACTAAACTATAAGCTCTGTGAAGTCAGGGAACATGCTGTTTTGTTTAACTCTGTATCCCTTCCAGGTAGAACTAGGTTGAGTGCTCACCAGACGTTTGGTGAATGATTGAACAAAACACTAAAGTGACTGAATAAAAACCATTATCCACCATATGATAAATGCTCAATAAACAAACGTTAGTACAGAAATGGTGGTGGGTGTCCATGGTACCAAAGTCCAGGCCAGCGAAGAGCTGGGGCCAGATGCTCAGCCAGGTCTCTCTCCATTTGTGAGAGGGCCCCATTCCTGGGGCGAGGAAGGAGGAATCATAGGAGAACTCCACACCCACGTGCGTGTTTGTTTTGCAGTGACTTTTCCCATGAGTAAGCATGTTCGTATCAGATGAGTGTCCCTTCTCTGCTGGGAAAGAGGAAGAGGGAAGGGTCGGGAAGAGACTGGAAAGACTGCTCTGTCTGGGTGCTGCTGGGTTTGCCACCATGATTGTCATTACAAAGATTTTTCTAGGCAGTGAAACCAGTCAGAGTCCCCTGAGGCCAACCACTGTGACCCTGTCTGGAAAACCTATTAGACTCTGAAGACCTAGTACTCAGTCCTTTTTCCAAAGTTAAAATAAAGGTGTTCATATGGGGAATCTAAAAAAAAAAGGAGACAAGTGGATTCATCTACAAAACAGAAATAGACTCACAGACATAGAGAACAAACTTATGGTTACCAGGGGCCAAAGGGGGTGGGGAGGGATAAACTGGGAATTTGAAAATTGCACCGCTTGGGGAGTGATGGAAATGCCTTGACTGTGGTGGTGGTTTCATGGGTATATATGCATCTATCAAAATTCATCAAGTTGTACATCTGAAATATGTGTAGTTTACTGTCCAAGAACCATACCACAATAAAGCTGTTAAAAAAATAAACAATCAATCAATCAATAAAAATAAATGTGCTCAGAGCTTGGGGACTATGGTCCAAGCATCACTTCCTATGTCAGTTAGCAATTACTGTTTAACTCCCCACAAATTTAGGGCCTTGAGACAACAATGGTTTCTCTTCCTCCACAAGTCATTGCGTAGCTTGCCTAGGTGGTTTTTCTGCTGTTCTCACTTGCCTTGGTTGAATTATAGTTAGATGGCACCTGGAAGAGAGTGGCCTCCCTCAGGTGGCTGGTGGTTAGCTTGGGCCATCATCCTCCATGAGGCTGGACCGGGCTTCTTCAAGAAGCTTGGTGGTCTTGGGGCAACACAAGAACCAGAGCGGGAGCTTCCAGGCTCCTTGAGGCCCAGGCTTGGAGCTGTACAATGGTGCTTCTATCCTAGTCTGTTGGCTGAAGCAAACCATTTGGCCAAGCCATATTTAAGAGGTAGAGAAATCAACTTCACCTGAATACAAAAGGAGCTGCAAAGCCACACTGCAGAATGGGCAGGCACACAGGATGGAGATGTCGTGGCCATCGCTGCAAACAATCAATACTAAGATAGCTCCCCAGTCAGGTCTTGAACTTGCAGGTTCCCTCTGCCACCCAGAGGGTAACTCCTCTCCATCAGCGTACCTGAGCCTCACCTCACTGCTCATCTCCCCACCAGGTGGCCTGGCGGCTGTGATCTACACGGATGCTCTGCAGACTCTGATCATGCTTATAGGAGCGCTCATCCTGATGGGCTACAGTAAGTGGGGTTCCAGGGTCGCTGGGGTGGATGACGGCGTCTCTCTCAAGCAGGGACATCTGCTCTCATCACTGCGATCAGCAAACCTAGCTGTCGAATCCAGCTGGGGATCCCTGCTTGAGGCACAGTTATTTCAGTTGGAAGAGAACTGTGCTTATCAGGGAATCTTACTCTTGTAAAGGAAACATGTATGGCTCTTCCTCTCTTGATATGGATAAATAATTAAACAAACAAATAAAAGGGGGCAAAGGGACAACTCTGCCTTACAGAAAAATTCCAATTAATACATGCAGATGGAGTGAGGGAAATGGAATGTCACCACGAGAATGCCACTGTAATAATTTCTGCAGGCACGATCCAGTGATAGATGCTAAAGTTAGCAGGTGAGAGTTTATGAAGAAATAGGCTATTTGCTTGGTCTCAAAGTATCACGTCTGGGGGGAGGGTACAGCTCAAGTGGTAGAGCATGTGCTTAGCATGCATGAGGTCCTGGGTTCAAGTCCCAGGACCTCCATTAAAAAACTAATTAAATAAATAAACTTAATTACCTCCCCCACCAAAAAATATTAACAAAAAGTATCATGTCCAAAATATTTATTGATTACAAAGGGAAATACAGTCACTTTACAGTGGAGAAACATGACACCCACCGCTGTAATTAATCGATCAAAATTAATATCAGTAATAGGACTTATCGATATGTAGCTCTTTGCCTGATGCATGGAGAAAGGACTCAGCATTACCTCTGTGCCATTCTTGCCAAAAAATACATAACCTCAACTTCTTCATGAATAAACATCAGACAAACCCAAACAGAGAGACGTTTTACTAACTGTGACCCGTATTCTTCAGAAGTATCAAGGACGTGAAAAATAAGGAAAGACTGAGGAAGTACACAGAGGAAACTAAAGAGACCCAACAAATAAAAACAATGTGGGATCCTGGACTGGATCCCAGAAGAGAAAAAGAACGTTAGTGGTGCGATCTGAATAGTCTGTAATATAGTTAATAATAACGCACCAGTGTTAATTTCTTAATTTCCATAACTGCACTCTGCCTATGTAAGATGGTACCTTCAGGTGAGGGGTGTATGGGAACTCTCTGTACTGCTTCTACAACTCTTCTGCGTGTCTAAAGTTATCCCCAAGTAAAAAGTTAAAAATTAACAGCGATTAAAATATATGTGAGCCAGATGTTCTATTTCGTTTAATTTTCATAACAACCTAATGATATCAGTATTATTGTCACCCCCTTTTTGGGGTGAGAAAGTTAGGGCATCAACTGTTAAAACTTTCCCAAGGTCCCAAAGCTAGGATTCAAAGCCAGGATTCAAACCCAAGCAGACTGACTTCAGATCACATACCCTTCCCCATCATACTGCCTGGCAATGACTTTTGAAGGAAGAGTCTAGGAGCAGGGGCCAAAGAGTATAGACAAGAATTTTACCTGAACACTGTGCCTTTCTGCACAGTTTGAATTTTGTGTATATGTTACTTTCATCTTTCAAGCCAAAAATTCAAAGAAAGAATCCTGGAGTAATAAATGAGCTTCACGACAAAGACAGCAACAACACTGTTTATTATTAACTTTAGCAGGAAATGTTTTGGACCCTTATGAAGAAGAGAAACTTTGCCGGTGTATATAGGGAGGACATAGAAATGAATAATAAATAGGTAAGGACACATGTCCTTTGGTGTGGTTGTTGTCATAGGTAGCAAAACTTTGAACCTCCCAGTGCCGCACAAGTGACTTACAACACTTCAGGTTTCAGAGGCAGGAGAGCTGAAAGATGCATCTTCCCATGGTCTGTTCTTAGCCAAACTTCCTGATCTTTCTCTCAAAAAGTATAGGGTCTCAATGGGGAAGTTCTGTTACTTAACTCATTATAATCAGTCAGGAGAGAGATTTCAGATCGACCTTCAGCAACCTTCATCGTTCTGCTATATCTAGTAGACTTTCTCCCAAGGCATCTGCAGGTTTTAAATGTTGAAAATTTATTGACCGGATATGCACGGGTTTCTTTCTGTGCTCTGAATTCTGTTCCATTGATCCGTATGACTGGTTTTAGGCAAATACCACACTGTTTTGATTACTATAGCTTTGTAGAGGCGTTTGAAATCAATTCCAATCTGTGTGGTGAGTATGTGGCTGTTTGGCTGTTATTCTTTCATTTAGTTATATATTGCTTATTTTCTCAATAAAACGAAAGGATTATAGTTTAGATAAAGAAAATTTAACTTTATATCATTTGCAAGTGGCACATGTAAAATGAAGTATAAGACAAAAAGCACTAAACAGAAGGGAAAGTAATTTTATATTGAAAAATAGCAAATTTACAATGAAGATATAATGTTTGTGTATTAAATAACATTGCTGCAAGACGCATAAAAGTTGTTAGAAATAGAAAAAATGGACAGAAACCAAAATAGTACCAGAAGGCTTTAACCCATCACAGAACAAGGAGTTGAAACATAAATAAGGATTTGGAGGTTATAAATTATATAAATGATAAGCATTCTCATCATAGTGAATATAGCTTTTTCTAGCATCATACAACCATCCACAAAAATGGGTCATTGAAAAAAATTACCAAATTTTGTGAAAATCCCCATACAAACATTTTCCAGATTGCGTTATTTTACCCATGCAAAACCAAAAAGTTAAATTCATTAGGAAAAGTGTGAATTTAAAAAAATTACTTAGAAAATCTAATTACTTCGAAAATTTAAAGCAGTTTCCTAAATAGTGCTCAGGTCAAGGAGGAAATAAAACTGCAGCTACAAACTATTTAGAAAAAAACAAATGACAAGAACATTACATTTCAAACTGAATGATGAAGTCAGAGCCGGAATCCTAGAAAAACATTTATATCCAGGAATATGAAAGTCCAGTGGAATGAACTGGAAAAGAGGAAACTTCAGAATGAATTACTCCAATATCT